ATTGTTAGGCTTTATAACTTGACATCACATACAACAGAAGCTGCTGATGGCTTTTCATTTATTATGGAATACAATGAATCCATTTCTTAATTTCTTTAGTATCGACTAGCTCAAGTGAAAGCTATAATTTTTATACGAAATGCAATTTCACATAGAAAATATTAGGACACAAAAGTGTAGTTAGGGTAGCCGTTAGTCAACCACTCGCAGCGATGGCTGCATTTGCTTGAATTGATTTTTATGGAAAAAGAAAATTCGTAAGCTTGAGAGATTTGTGTATGCCGGGATACACAGAGGAAGCTGGCAGATTGCTCAGAGAGAACAAACCGTGTTGAAGGCAAAAGGGTTAAGTGGAAGCCGTTGGTGAGGCGATTTGCTGAGTTGCTGTGACAAGGCCAAAACACTTTGGTAGTCAGATAGTTTTCCAAGTGAGGTATTGAGATGAAAGGCGAATGAAAAGCGATCAGAATTGAAAATCGCAAAGCTATATTTGATTATAATGCGTAAGTTGTTTCGTCATGTCTAATTCAAGTGCATTAAACAAAAAGTCTTAAGTTTAGCGTTTGCCTTAATGTTCTCTCTTTGGCTGTAATTAGCGTTCCTCATCTAGCCCGCTTAGATGGCTACATTTAAAGGGCACAAATTGTATGCCCACATAATGTTTATCAGAGTCACGCAAGCAGGTTCAGTGAACTCATTATAATGCTCGGTAAACCGCAAAACTCGGCGCTCGGCGAACGTGAAATTTTAACGGGTGACATCTCATGACATACGACCGAGAAGGCTTTAACCACATACGGACTAATTCGATGTGCCGTCAAAAAGCCATAAACTTGTCACACACTTTGCAATCTACAAATGCTCTCCCACTCTCCTCTTTCCCATTGGCTAGCTGCCATCACGTAGAGCGCGGAGTTGAGCTAGAGTACGGAGCTCGCTAAGGCAGCGGCTCAAGATCTTGGCCAAGACTAACAGTCCACTTGGCCAGCAGCCATCTTGTTAAGCACTCAATTTCCTGGCAATGCGTGTATGTGAATAATTAAAATCGCGTGTAGTTTGTCAATGCTCGAATTAATTCGTTTAGCTCATTAGCACGAACTGACGGACTGACACCTGGACAAAAACACGCGCTGCCTAGATCGAGGCAAACTGTTAATTGGGCGTGCATAATACAAGTTTTCGCACAAAATTTACAACCGGTCGGCAGCCAATGGCCAACGGGCAGAAGGATTATTTCCGCCTTCCACGATGCGCGTTTCGCGCGGCGTAATCCTTTTCAATTTGAATGTAAATGAGTTAACTCAACGGCCACACAGGTGCGAATGTGGCAATTTGTGTGGGCCAAAGACACGTGCCACCGCAGCAGCAGCAGCGATACACTAACATATGCCACTCCTGCGGCAGGACTCTGTGAGTCTGACAGTGTTGCCAGTTAAGCTCGTTTCAGACTAGATCTAGCCAATTTGAAAGAGGTCTACTCTATTTATAATACATTGAAAATGAGTATGGAATGGAATAGCCAGAAATTGAGGCAGATTATGCACAACTTCTAGTCCTTAAGAGAACTATAGAAAAAGAGACTGCTGTCTAAGCCATATACAATTTCTAAACATTAGTGTACATTAGCTATTCAGCATATCAGCATTTAGCCTAATTATTAGTATTCTTAAGCTTAATGAGATTATCCCATTTAACTATGCGTGCTTGTTCGTCTATATAACTGCTCGTATGTTGTCTGTATATCTGACGATCTGAAAGGTCTCTCAATCTGAAGAAAAAGAGACTGCTGTCTAAGCCATATACAATTTCTAAACATTAGTGTACATTAGCTATTCAGCATATCAGCATTTAGCCTAATTATTAGTATTCTTAAGCTTAATGAGATTATCCCATTTAACTATGCGTGCTTGTTCGTCTATATAACTGCTCGTATGTTGTCTGTATATCTGACGATCTGAAAGGTCTCTCAATCTGTCTCTCCACCTGCCTGTCTAATAAGAGCAATTGGCGAAGAAGAACTACAGAAGATCATTTAAGTTGTCTATGTATATGCAGCAGTATTCATTTGGTATTTATATTTGAGTAAAATGAATCTCGAGTGCTTGAAGCAGCAGAGAGTGTTCCCATTGGTCACTTAGAGGTCGACTGCAACGAACCCTACCTGACGTCGGGCTCAACTTGGCCATCCTATATAAAAGGGCAGCAGCTGCAGAATTTCTTCAGTCACCCAGACCTGGTGGGGGTCAGTCGTACAGTGCAGTAAAGTGAAGTGAAGTGTGTAAAAATTTTTAATGATCGTTCAGCTAAGCATTAAAGGCTTAGAGCAACTACTTATCGAAAATACTTAGCAGAAATACTGAGAAGGCAAGATAAATACTTAGAGGAAATACTAAGACAGATCATTGCAAATGATTTATTAAATATATTTGCTAGTTTCGTATGATTTCTCCCCTTCTTCAGCTAGCCAACTATTCCAGTGTTTACATGTTAGCCGGCTTTATACTACTTTCATTCACAATCCAACGTATTTCGGATCTCGAAGGTGCCAGCACTGCTGTCAGCTACCCTGCCTGCTGAGCCATGCATACAAATGCATGCATGCACATCAGCTTAAAGGACTTTTAACTCATGGCAGCCATATATGCGGCATATGCAACCTATAGACTTGTTTCTGTATTTTTTTATTTACAGTGCAAAGTCAAATATGAATGACAAATGATAAATGATCAATATACGGATTACTCTTGTTAAATTTTAACCGTAATAAATTTCAAATCTACATTTTAATTCACTTATAAATTAAAGTTTTGGCTTCTTTTTTTTTTATTCGATGTATCATTGGAAAATCACATATTGTTTATTCCCGCATTTATAAGCATATAATCTGTAAAGCTACTTACCAGTAATAATTAGTGACATAACATTTAAACATCCTTTAGTCTTTAGCTCAGCATTTATGCACAACTTAAAAAAATCAGTGGCAGCGTTAAGTAATCAGACTGAAAATCATTTGCACAGATAATTTTGTTTTTTAATTGGCCATATTAAGGCTATTAGCGTGTATTTTTGTGTTTATGTACATAGAGAATCTCTGCATGTGTGTGTTTATCTCTGTACAAACAGTTTTAGTTCTGTTTGTGCAGCAACTTTTTGCATGAGTTTTACGCATAGTTTCAATTAGAAAAAAAAAAAAACAGTGGCAGCCGCAGAGCCAACACATTTTCTGCTTTTGGCTGGGAATCGTTGCATAGCGGCAGCTTCAAATGATATTTGTTCATTTTGCAGTTCGGGTTGGTAATGCGGCAGAGATAAACAACGGAAATTGTGTCAGCTTAGAAACTAGAAATTGGACAACAATTTCAACTAGGAATAATGCTTAGCCCATGCGAGTTTCGTATTAAAGTCTTGCCATAATTTAATCAATATTAAGTATGAGTATGAAATATGCAAAAGTTTTAACTTCAACAAAATAAAGTTAATTAACACTCTCGAAAATGTATATATTTTTTTGTTATATATGTATATTTTATTTTCACATAATCATTTTGGCCTGGTTATTTTTTATATTTAAGAAAATTGGCAAATACAACCGTAAATAGCAAGCTGTATACTTCACCCCATAATCCGCCTGGTGCCCAAAACTGGGACATGCCGACAATATGGCAACGGACTAGGGCCGAAATAGAATTAGTTGACAGCCAGAATGTCCCCAAGCCGAGCTGAGTTGGTGAAGTGTCTCAGCTGAAGCTGTAGCTGCGGCTGTAGCTCAACTGGAAATTCAATTAACCCAATTGGTGGACTTGAACGACGTCTCCGGTTAGAGCTACCACTCGTCCGCCGTCGCACCTCCCCCAAAAATATGCTCCTCATTATTATGAAAGCCCAGGGAGGGCAACGGCAGCAGCGCGCAAGGTCAAAGCGTATTAAATGGGCTTAGGATAGGCAGAGCCCCAAAAAAAAAGGGTTCTGCTGACCTACCAAAGCTGAGTAAAACAAATTCCTGCAATGCAATAAAAATCGCAGCACAAAACGAGACGAACAAAAAATCAAGTCAAAAAGGGAAAAAAAAATTCACTAGATAATTAAATTTCTGTATATATGTGAGTAGCAACACAAATGCGAGACTATTTGTAAGTTGGCAACCACTGAAATATTATGGAGAATGTTTATGCTGACCCCAAGCAAGCCGCAGAGCCTAAACTGCCCTGGTCAAATTTATGGACGGACTTTGCTCTACAAATTTGTCTGCATACATTTACTAAAGGGAACTCATATCGTATAGTTTTTGTGCTTACTACGGCCGAGCTATGTGTGTGTGTGTGTATTTGTGGTTGTTGTATTATAGAGGTTGTCAGCACATGAGTGTTATATTAGAAGAGTATATACAGATGATACCCAAAACATAAATGTTGATACCCAATGGATAAATCTTGATTTTCATATCTGTTCTCATAGCAAACTAGCCCAAACTTCGATTGGGAATTTGCTACAAATGTCTAACAAAAAGTACTAGGCGATTTTCTCAATTAAAAATATAATAAAAAATATATCATCATTATTTATCAATGGACAGTTCAATTTTAATCTGTTTAATAGCTATAAAAAATAAAAATATATTAATAAATAAAATTAATATTAGATATGATTTTTAAGCCGAATCTACATATGTATATACAACCTAAACTAGTCTTCATAATCTAAAAACTGTGTAAGCCATACCCAAATACATACATAAGCATACATAAGCAAGCAATAGATGCTTTATGCTTAACATGATTGTATGCATATTTCAATAAACATTTCAATAGAAACCAAAGTATCTCCATGCTTTTCTATATAAGCAAACTATTTAACGAGCATACTCTTCTATCTACGCCTATCTTATCCAGTACCCTTACCCTTACCCTTACAATACGATTGTTACATGGAGTGCGTGTACTCTTTTTCAACTGCTATTCATACTTCCTTCAGTCCCCTCTGTCAACTCTAACTACATTGCTCCTCAAGTCAAGTATTTAATATATTTACTCCTTGTCAATGCTAAATATTTCTATTCCCAGAGTCCGCTCGTATTCCATCATTGTGGAATGAGCACTACCTTATTCGCTTTAAAGGACATTAAAGTAAGTAGATTTAGCTTTTACAGTCCAGTTAATCTGATAGCTCTGTTCCCCGAAGCGCGATGTGATATACCCAAATACCAGGCCAAATCACTTGGATTTGTAATGGAAACAAATTGTAAGCCGTGCTAGGCCTCAGGCTTAACATCTGATGGTTGAAATTAGACATCTGTAGGCTATTTCGCCCACGCCACGATGACACTTAATTAATATTTATAACACATACTTCAACATATGTATCTGCACGACATAACACAATTAATGTAATTGGCTGACACAGTGCGCAAATAGTCGTAAATCATTTATCATCACAATCTTTGCTAGAGTGCTGCCAATACATATATTATCATACACACACACTTTTATGTGTGTGTGTGTGTGTGAAGGAGGGGGGGTTGAAGCTATATCGATCTAGATGGAGAGAAGTGAAAGTGGCTCTCGACAAACGAATTTTCTGAGATTTTTGCTTTATTACCCTTACACAACTTAAGTGCTGAACGAATCGTTGGACGCTCAAACGTCTCCAAGTGGGGTAAGCGATACAGCTCCGAGCGCTCAAGCTCAGGTAAAGAAGGCTTTGAGCTCAGCGTAAATCAAATAAAATGCGAATAAAAATGTTAAGTGGAAAGCGCTCAGAATTTTCGTTTGCTCGAATATGTAAATTGCTTTTAGCTCTGATTCTTGCTTCGCATAAAACCTGTGCCCAACGCCGATTTTAATGCAGGTGTATTAGTACATATACGTACGTACTTATAAATAAATATATTATGTACTATATATTTATATATGCGTGCACTTGTATGTATGTATGTATATACCAGCAGAAAGTTCTATACCCGCAAGTGTTTTTCATTAAAATGTCTGAGATTCTCCTTCAAGCAGCGGACAGAATTCATAAACATTTCTATATGCATAAATGTACATACTTACATATATTTATGCATGTATATGTATATGTATGTATTTATATATATATACACTGTTTGGTATAGAAAATATGACATTATGCGCAGATTTTTTACTCGAGTATTTTTCTGCTAGCCGCTGGTTGAGTCTCATCTCTGCTGTTTCTCTTTCTCTGTGTCTCACTCTGTTTCTCTCGCTCTCACTTTCTCGCTCCTACGCTCTACCCCTGCCTATTTAGCTGGTTTGCCCTCTAGTTCTTTAAATCTCTCTCTCTCTCTCTCTCTCTCTTTCTGTCCCTCGCTCCCTCGTTCCCTCTCTCCCATTATATTTTTTTTATTTTCTATATTTTTGGCAGAATTTTAATGATGAATGGGCCTGAAAGTGCGGCTGTTTGTGTGTATATATACATATATGTATGTATATGCTCTTATTTGTGTGTGTGGGTGATGTTTGCAAGTGCTTCAACAAAAATCTGCATAAATTTGCGCAAATATTGTAATGTAAATTATTTTTAAAAATTTTCCATCAGTGCTTTGGGAAATTTAATTACTTAGCATTGCGGCAAGGAAATAAATTTCAGTTAAAGCTGTTACAGCAGAAATTGCTTTATAAATAATGTCACATAATTCTTAATGCTTTGTGGCTTTAGCAGCATTGAGCCCTCTCTTGTAATTTCATAATACCAAAAAATCAAAAATAAAATAAATAATAATAATAAAATAATATAATAATAATAATAATAAAGTAAAATAATAAATACTCGCAAAAGATGCCTATGTATTTATTAATTGTAGCTCAGAGTTTGTTTTTAATTTGGATTGGAGCATGTCTGCTCATAAGATTATAATGTTAGCTATTTGCTTACATTATATACTTTATGAGGTAAACAAAATATGCCTTTTCAAAGGATGAAAATGGCTTCTCTCTTCTTCGAGTTCTGATTGAAAGCAAGGTCAACAGAAAAGTCATTATAGTCAATTGACATTTAAGGCAATCAAATAGCTTAAGCGCAATCACAAAATCGAATTACTCGAAGGCCAATAACAACAATAAGTAACTCAACTGGCAGCAACATCAACAACAGTAGCAACACAACTTAAACAACTACAATAACGACACAAAACTTTTTGAATACAATTACAACAATCAACGGCACATCGGCAACAAAATCAAAGATAACTAGAAAATCAGTTTAGTCTGTATGTACGTACGAATATGAGTACTCTTATGTAGAATGGAAAACTTTCATGCATGCGAGTGTGAGTGTGTGTGTAATCTATGTGTTCATACATATGTACGGAAATTGCACCAACAAATTCAAGTTCATATTGAGTCTTTGCTTTGCTTCCCTCTAATTTGTGCACAAACAAAAAGACGAGGACGATGTTTTCACTCAAAGCCCAAACACACACACACACACACACACACACACACACACACACACACACACACACACACACACACACACACACACACACGCACACACTCGCAAAAAAGCACTCACACACACATAGAGTAAGACATCAACATAACATGGCCAACAGCTGGAACGGTAATAAACAACAAGCAGTTAAGGCAACAACAACAGCAGCAACAGCAACAACAACAAACAAGTGAACCATTGAAAATCCTTCGCTTTGCGTGTGTTGCGCAAGAGATTTTTGTCGCCAAGTGTAGGCGGAGCAGGCGTGATGGAAAAAAGAGTAACACAAAAAGAAAACACAAAGAACGAGCGAAACTTTGTGCGATGCTGCAAGCACTGCACACAAGCACACACCCCAACACTCACACACACATTTACACACATATACTGGGGCTTCTGTTGGTTATCGAGAAAAAGCAAATCACGCGGCGTATACTTATTGCAGCCCACTGTGTCAAGCGTCTGGGTGCCTGGCTGTTGCTGTAAAACATTTTGGGTTTCCTTTATATAATTTTTGCATGCGCAACAAAAGGCACATGCAATCAAAACAATATCACTGCAGTCCACACAATGTGGACCTTTGAGTATGCTTATAGTATATAAAGGCAAAAATCAATTCTATTTTATTGAACAAATACAAGTTTATATTGTTATTAATGTTAACCTTTTCCACTTTACATAAGACTCTGTTTAATTTATTCTGTTTTCAATAGATTGGCCTCTAACAATTTTCTATTCCCCAGCGGAAAATAACTATTTTTTTTGTTCATAACTTTTAACTAGAATTTGTTTAGGCAAAGGCAATTCGAAGTCGAATTGCCAGGAGTTCATTATTCAGCTTTCCATAAATTACAATCTAGCTTGCTGTCGTTGGTGTAGGAAACCTCTGCAAACTCAAACCCAATCCAAATTCCTTGCCGAACCACAGTCAACAAACGAATGCGGGCAACGACAGTGGCTTTATCCAAATACACAAAGTTTGCTCTTGCCACAATTTAAATTGAAATTAGTAAAGGAAGCAGCACAGCAGCTCCCACGTAACTCAACTCCGAGCAGGAGAGCAGCCGTCCAGCTCTTCCATTCGAGATTCGAAAAGCTCGCATAAAGAGCTGCAAATAAAAGCAGAATTAGTTGTTTATTTGCCAATCTTGATAAATACTTCAGGTGCAGCATTTTCTAACGAATTTATTTACATTTACGTCTTAGCTGCCACGCCTTAAGCTGACCTTAGGGATCAAGTTGGCAAATGCTTTAAGTTGAGCTCAATTAGCACGCAGCTGCTTAGCAACCTGTTCCCGTTCCCTTGCCCATGAAAACAACATAAAACAATTTATGCAACAGCATCCAGCGCTGAATAACACAGGTTGAATCATTTGTCTGGGGTAACTAGAGCAACCGCGTAATTGAGTTAATACACCTGCTGCCAATGCCTGCAAATTTCAATAGCGAAATAAGAAGAAGAACTAAAAGTGCTCTAGTTGGGGTGGCTCAGCTAGGAGATACCCTGAACCAAGCAAATCCCTGACTTTTGTGGTTCACAGGATCGATGTCTTAATACATGGCTAGAGCGACTCATCTTGAATATATACATATATAAACTCTATGGGCCTCCCATGCCCTCCTATGCCTGGCATTTACATTGTGATTCTGAAATAGACTTGAGAATGAAATTAACAAAATTATAAATTCATATACATATATGATATAAATAACCCAAAAAAAAAATAATAATAATAATAATAATGTAAATATGGAAATGAAAGACAAATACATTATTTAGCATTTCAGATATAAAATTTGGTTACACTATTTGGCCTATTACACTATTTCATATGTAATAGGCCCTAACATACGGAATTTGCCTAGCTGCAAGCCGCAAGCTTAGACATGTGTGTGTTATTTAGGTTGATAAACTATCAGAAGGGCCTTCAAGATGTTGGACTGAAAGTTAAAGTGCTTACGAAAACCACTCATATTCTTGAGGCATTCAGAGCATATGGTAAATAAAACACACACACGCACAGAGACTCTCGCTCTTGGCAGCTCGGAGAGACACCTAACAGGCACTTGATAAGTGTGGCTATGAGTGGCAGATGCTTTCCCGGCACCGGTCACCACTTACCGCACATTGTTAGTTGTAAAGATGCCGCCGAGCTGAGAGAGCCGAGCCGGGTATGCGAGGCCTCAATCCATATGTATGCGTATTAAAGATGCTCCAGATAGACCAGCAAACACTCACACGCTCGCTAACTGCCATTTGCTGTGTGTGCGTGTGTGTGTGTGTGTGTGTCAATATGTATGTAAATAAGCGGGAGAACAAGTGGTTATAAATTTTCAAGGAAGCTGCCTTTTGCCAACAATATTATGTATACGCCATCGAGGCCGAAAGCCGTCGAGCAAGAGTAAATCCTCACGCATATCTTACTCTTTGTATGGATACAAGCAAGTATTTACTGGAGTCTGTCTGTGTGTGGGTGTGTAGATGTGGGTGGTTGTTTGAGTTGATGTAGGTGCGCCTTACTAATAATGCCCTTAAGAAAGGACACTCTACGCAAACGCACAAATATCAAGAAACATAGAAACATAGAGGCAGCAGCAAAAAATTGAGTTAAATAAAATAAATGAAAGCGAATATGACGGCTTAACTACATAAGAGGAAGGGACGAACGAGATGAGCGTCTACCAAAGGCCGATGAGGTGTGCATAAGTATATGTGAGTGTGGAGCGAGCGGGCTCAAAATATATATACATATATATGTATGTATAACAAGTACACTAAAAATGCTAGAGGCCAGCCCAGTTAACCGCATCGCACCCTACATCACCTATCAAGCAGCTTTCTGTGTATTTGTGTTTTCTTTTTATTATTATTTTTCGCTTTTATTGCTCGCATCCTTGAATGTTTTTAATATGTTTATTTATATCAGCGTGCTAGGACGCGCCGTCAATGTTGTTTATCGCTCCTGTTCCTGCTGCTGCTCGTTTTCCTTTTCCTTGGCGCAATGCAGTCCGCTAGTTACGCGCTTATTATGTTGCTCATAAAATCACATAAAATTAAAAGCTATTTTGCTCTTGAAAACGCTTTTACGTTTCCATTTTGACTAGATGCTCAGGACTACAGTAAACGCCCTTTGGCCTTTGCCCTTTGCCCATGGCATCACATTCCCAGTCATTAAAATGGTGGCTGTATTTAAAAGGGCTTAAGGGTTAGCACTCACTCTATAAGCAGCTTGTCCGTCCAGCTACGTCGGAAATATCGCGACTCTGCTGTAAACAGAATTTGCAATCAGCTTTGGTTTCATTCTCAGAATTAAAGCCAATTCAGGCTGCTTACATTCTCTATCTGTTTACCCTAAAAAATAATACAATTTGTTAATGAAAGCTCGCCAACTCAATTGACCAATGTGGTAGACTTAGTTTCACATTTGAAGCATTTTTAAATTAATTGCGAATCATAAAATCTGCTCAACTCCAACAATTAACAATCCTATTTAGACAGCAAGTTTACATACATATCGCTTAACCTTTGAACAGTTAACCCCACTGCGCCGGAAGACAAAATTTACAAAGCGTCTATAATCAGGGAAATGCTCAATGTGCCACAATGAGCCTTGGGCGGTTGTGGATTATTTATTTAGGCCATTTTTAGGCAATCCAAAGCAGCGATCAATCATTTCCGGGCAATCGAATGAGGATGGCTATGGCTGGCATTGCGAATTGAGGGCATCGGGCGACAGATTGTAGACGATAGGAGGACCAAATTTAATATCATAATGAAAGTTTAGATTGGCGCCATTGCTGATGAATTGAAATATTGCCGCACGAATGCGTTTCGCAGGTAATCAAGCATGAAGTAGGCAGAAGAAAACTGAAGAAGGTCGGGCTGGTGGCAGCTGCAGATCTATGAATAGGCAAAAAACCTGTCTGAACTTTGCGCTTAAAGTTCAAGGTAGTGGGCGTGGCGGTTGTAAAACTATATCAGCAAAATGTAAATGACTTGGATGTATCCTAAAAATGGAGTCGGTCTAGGTCAAAAAGGAAATTTATTCATATTGTCAGACACGTTAAACGTGTCACCTTTCTCTATATTTGCGGACAATGCCTCAAATTTCGTTATACGATTTTTTGTTGAATAGGATTTTGCAGAAACTTTGCATGATTGTTACTAAAAGTAGAATACCCTACGACTCTTGATTGGTGCAGAGCATTGAAATGCAAAGCAATCGAAGCGCAACGAATATAAATAAAGTCAAAGAGTTCACGGAAAAGTACACGCATGCCCCTTCCTCCACCCACCCACACTCGGGTAACAACAACAAAATTATATACAAAATGTTTATTTAGGCCCAATCAATTTTATGGCAATCCGGTTTTTATAGCAACAAAAGAAGGCACGAACCGGAACTGCCAGCCACCAACGCCTCGCGGCCCGAATTCGCGCCACAAATTATGCAGAGCATCGCGTTTCTGTGAAAATTCGCATCTGGGTGTGTGTGTGCGTGGTTTGTGTGTGCATGTGCTTAACTGTTTCCTATGCGAATGTGCGTGGGTGACTGCTTAAACGTGCATGAAAACGCTGCCAGTCAAGTGAAACAAAAACAAGCAAAGTCCTCTGCGGGAGAGCAAGGGAGTGCATGAGAGAGAGAGTGTGTGTGCAGCTCGATTCTATCAGAATTTTTAACTAATTTAAAATTTTAATTTAATTAATTTGTGTGCGGCTTGCTTAATGAAATTATGTATTTGTGCCTGCGCCCTTCAAAGAACTTTAGCAATCCTATTAAACAGCCCATCGACAGACAATGCCGAATCGAATGCTTAAATACCCTTCAATTGCAAAGAACTTCATCCAAACCAACTATCGATTGTGTGAATTAAACTTGAGTTGCTTGCATTTGACAGTTGCATGAAATCTTCGTACAGTATATAAGCTCATTTCATTTTCATTGATTTCCCAGTTTATATAAAGACAACTGCAAATTGCATTTCATTTACTGAATCCGACGTTTTTTCGCGTTTTTTCAGGCAGCTTCAATTTGGAAATCAATGGATTGCAATTATGAGCAAGCTAAGTGAAGCCCGAGAAAAGTTCATTAGCAGCAGCTACAATAACAACAACAACAGCAGCAACAACAGCAGCAGCAACAGCCTCGACATCGACGACAGCCACAATAATCAACAACATCATCGGCAGCAAAATGTAAACGGCTAAAGGAGGACTCGACAGCTGGGTCCGTGAGCTCTGCAGTAGCAAAGTTAAAGACACCATAATAGTGAATACAACAAAAAGTACAGCGAAAACTACAACTACAACAACAACAACAAGAAAAAACAACCACTGCAACAAACAAAATACACAACATAAATGAAGTTAACAATCTGTCAAATTGCTAAATTATTTCTGCTGTTGACAGCCTTCTTCTTTCTTAATTCCCATCACGCCTCCTCCGCCTCAACCACCTTGAATAACACCTCTGGCGCCACCAGCAGCAACGTCCTTTCATCAGGCCAAAATCTTGCCCCACCGACCACAGCGCCAGCTGGCAATGTGCCCAAGACATTGGCAAATGCGACTGCAACAACTGCGGTTACGTCCACGGCAACGGCAACGACAGCGACAGCGACAGCAACAACAACAGCGACAGCAACAGCGACAGCAACAGCGACAACCACTGCGACAACAGCAAGAGCGACAGCGAGGCGGACAACATCAGCAACAACACTTAGCAGCAATTCAATTTTGAGAACCTCAACAGCATCAGCAACAGCAACAACAACACAACAGCAACAACAACAACAACAAAGCAATGTGCATGAATTGGTACGTCAAGCACGTCAACAGCAAGATACCGCAAAACAACAGCAACTGCAACATCCACGAGAGCAACAACAACAACAACTGCAACAACTACAACAACGCCAACGTCGCCAACATCAAAAACAACAAACAACAACGGCTGCAGCTGTCGCAGCTCAGCGTGTAGCCGTTTTAATACCTTCGTCACTGCACATTGATATGATGCAAGTGCAACAGGGCTTCGAGCATTTCGTTGAGTTTTTTCAAGTACATTTATCTAACGCCAGCGTCGATTTTATACAAGATGTCGGTGAGTAAACAACCGCAGCTAGCAAAATCAACGCTAACACCAACAATCACACACACACACACTCGCAATGCGATTTTTTTTAGCCATTTCGATTTCTGTTCTTCTCGTTCCTTTTTTCTGTTTTTGTTTTCCCGTTTGTCGTTGACCCGTAAAATATTTGAAAACAAGTAACAAAGCTCTAATCGAAACTGCTCGACTGCGTGATCTCCAGAACCCTTCGAGGAACTGATATCCGAGCTGTGCTCGATAACTACTCCCATTTATGTGTTATCAGTTAAAAATATTATCGAAAACCATTTATAAAATTTATCTATATATTCAACATCTTTAGAGCTAAAGTCGCCAAATTTCAAATATTGATTCATATGTTTTTTATATGCGATTTATTCTTGAAATATCAGTTCCTCAGAGGATTCTGGGAATCTTATAGTCGAGCAGTCTCGACTAGAGCTTTCTTAATTGTTTTTCTTATTGCACTACGCATTAATATCATTTTATTGTGAGCTGTCATTTTCCTTGTGCACATTTAATTGAATAGTAAAAATGCTTAATGTACTTAGAGTAGAGTGCTCGCTAATCAAAGGCAACTTTGTTATGATAAATGTCAAGAGGTTTCCATTTTTTCTGCAGCTATCTCGTTGCAACTCAGTTAAAAGGACATCTTCTGAGATTCATCCGCGACAAGCATGTCGAGGACCCTCTGCTGTTTCCTGCATAGGAATGGCTCTTATCATTGTAAAGTATTGTCCTCAATGAACACTCAATTTGCATGCATTATGCGCAGACTTTGCTAGGCACTCGGCTATGACTGACTGGGTAATACTCGTTCGATTTGCCACGATTTTAAGAGATGTTACACTTTTGCATAAGAAAAAGTAAGCAGAGTCTGACTGAGGCCATATATGCCCCCATTGGTTTGTGAGCGAGTATAAATGTGAATCTTGTCATGGTATTTAAACTAATTAAAGCGCAACGAGTGCAAGTTTCCGGCCACGTCTTGTGCCTCATGCCTTTGGCGTTTACGATTCATCAAGAAGTAGTACAGTAAAGAAGCTGTTTTTTCTCTCTCTCTCTCTCTCTCTCTCTCTCTATCGCTTTCTCTATGTTTTCCTATGTGCTTACTACTTTAATTGCGTTGCCTTCGACTTAAGGCGCGCATGTCATGCCAAAGGACTGGTATCCTGCACCCGCACCGCCCTCTGCCATATGCCCATCGATGTCATAAATATTTCTGTCCGGCAACTGACAACTTACAATTTCCGCTTGAAATCTTTATAGCTGCATTTGACTTATGAGAATTTTTATACTCCAAGCTCATAGAAAACGAATAAAAAGCGATTTCATTTTTTCTGCAAATGCCTATAACAGGCGAATGTCAGCTTTGAGTCTGCAATAAATTGAAATAGTTGAATTTCTTCAGCGATGGCTTGTTGTTGACACATATAATAGAAATTTTTAATTGAATTTCATTGAACTTCTAAGATTTGTAATGGTTTTTCACTAATACTCTAACATTTTAGGCATGTGCCAGATTTTCGAATTCTCCAAAAGAATTTTGAATCCATAATAAATCAAGTTCACTGCAATTTAATTGAGATAAAAATATTTTAAAAGTTTATTTTACAATTTTCTCCCCCTTAAAATGCAGCCTGAGAAAGAGTATCGATACAATTGTTCTTTTTTATATTATTATTGATTTCTTTTAAAGCTACTTTTAAGCAGATCAAATAAGAAATAAGCAGCTTCCGGCCATTGTCCAAAGTTGCGAGCCAATAAATCACGTAGTTAATAATGCTTTATAGAAAAAAAGTTGGAATTTTCCTTGGACGTATATGGAACTTATGAGTTTGGGAAGACCAAACATGTATTTATGTATACATATATATTTCTTTTCCATACAATCATACCAACTGTAGTTTGGAAAATGTATGAAACAAGTAATGTGTAGGAATTTAATTGAATTTAATGGCTCATAGAATAGCTGCAATAAAAAAGTAACTGAATGAATTCCTAATATAATAATAATCAAATATTTCTTTTGAGGCAAAAGAAAATGAATTTTAAACTGTAGCTAATGGATACTTCATAGCTACTAAATGCGTCGTAAGCATGAAAACTTTTTAGTTCGACAAATTGAATACTTAAGCGCATTTATGTGTGTCATAATGATAAATTCTGCTAATGAATTATCACAAATCGCGATAAGCTGCGGCTTACTCAGCCGAGAGGCGAGCCAAGTCCAAGTTGTTTAGTTTTACTTGCAGACCCAGTGCCTCAGTTGGTCTGCCAAAGTTTTTGCCCAAGTCTCCGCTAGCCTCTCACTTCATCTGGCGATTTGTTTTTATTTTTGCAATTTTCATTCTCTTCGTTAGTTTAAAAGTAAACGTGGTGGAATACACATGAGCGAGAGGAACTCACAGACTGGCTGATGGAAAACTTGCACATTGGCCACTTATTTGGCGCCAAAGTTTTGCCAATTACAGCAAAAGTTTAGATTTGATTTATTTAATGTAAACTAAGCAACGCTAGTTTAGGAGAGCCTGATGACCTGACCTTAAAATTGTAGCAATTCAATTTGAAAAGGTAAATTAATTAAAGCCAAACAAAAGCACAAGAAAGAAATTCAATTTATAAACCAAGCTCGTAACTATGTCTCTTTTTATCGTTTATCTGAGGGCACTTGTCCACATGCAAAATAAATTCTATTTTCCGTAATTTCTTTCCACATTGTGCCAGGTTTTATGCTGCAAAATATTGAAATTGATTTTAGTTGCATATGTTGCAGTAAGTTCTCCCACTATTCTCTCTCTCTCTCTCTCTCTCTGTCTCTCTCTCTTGCATCTACTTCAATTTACGACCCGGCCACATGAGCATAGCTGGACTAAAACCTATTGTCGTGTATTTCCCTGGTCTGGCCTGGCTTGGCCAACAGAATTCATAGTTTATACCCACGCGACTTGGCCAGGATTCTCAGCATTTGCGGTTGCCCAGAAGGCCGGACGAATGTATAAATTGTATTTCCATGGATTGCCTTTTGTGCAGCAAAAACGACAAATTAAAAGGTGGCCACGTTGCCAGGGGAATAATAATAAAGTCAACTTGCCCGACTTGCACATCTGTGCTTAAATTTGCTAACCATGCAGCCTCCTCAACTGCCCTAGACTACATGAATTTCTGCTTTTTATTACAAAAGAAATATTTGCGTACCAAAGTAAATAAAAATAATGACTTGTGCTGAGAATTGGCACAATAAAGCAAAACAGGCCTTCTAAAGGCATAATTATGCGGCCTCACATAATCAAAATTGAAATTTTACATTTATAAAATATTCAAAATAATAAATATAAAATTTAATGAACAAAAATCGTATATTAAACTTAATTTGTATTTATTATTTACTATAAAATATTCAAAATAATAATTATGAAATTTAACGAACAAACAAATCGTATATTAAATTTTATTTGTATTTATTATTAATTTTTTCTTATATAAATTTACTCAACATGTCATCAAAATATTTAGGTTTTTTATAAAGTTTTAATAATATGTTCCATAATTATATATAATTAAATTTTAAAAATAAAATTAATAATATGTATGCGTGACTAAAATTTTGATATTTAACAGTTACACTCATTTTATATTCCCGAATTGTTTTGAGTGAAAATAAAATGATTATTTTGAAAGGCCATTTATACTGAAACATCTAGTATCATTATTATAAAGGACCCTTATATATGCGTAGCTTTCAAATACATGCAGTTTATGGAGCTATGTAACATCATGTAAATTATGACAGTTACGACAACTCACATCAGTTGCGAGCTGGAGAGAATCAGACGCACTCAAACGGAGCTGCAGTTAGACTGTGCAGAATGCTTTCAGTTGACTCGCTTCATCATCCGCTACTTTAACTACACTTCTTAAGCACACACACACAGGAATACACACACACATACAGAGAGAGAATACACGCAGACGACTTAAATATGCAACCATTTTTATATGCTACATAAAATGTTTCTTTCTTTCCTTTCTTTTACTTTTTGCTTTGGCGCTGATGGCGTTGCTGACGCGTAGATTTAAGTGGCTTCATTAAATTACTGGAGCTACCCAAATACACGAGCGTTGTAAAGACTTTAAATGCGGGCATTAA